CTCAGCTTGTTTAAAAAAAAAAAATGTTCATTGCATGCATCCATCAACATGGCACATTGCACAGCATAGTATTTGGAGAAAAACAAGGCAAAATGCACTTAATAAAATTACAAGCATATGGTGAGGTTCTCAGACAAGTTATTTACGGTCTTGATTAACCTTGTAGCATTTATGCCATTTTCATAGGTTTTACATAACACCATGAAAATATCGTCTTTACCTTTTAACATGGCAGGATTATCTTATCTCCTGTTCTTTTATTTAGCCTTCACTTCTCTCCCTCACCCCCAGATTTCTAGCAGCTTGATCATGGAAAAGCAAAGCTTCTTGTGCTCAGTGGCAAATTTTAGGAGTTCCGTTTTCCTGACACTGGCGCATAGCAACAGCGCCACCAAAAGGACAAGGTCCTCAGTTTCTAGGATCTGTTCCATTTCTTTGCTCATCAGCGTATCAGCGTTTTACGTGATGATTGCTGGCTGCTACGTGTCCAGTATATAATATATTGGCATTTCAGGCTCTTTACAGTTAATAGGTCTTAATTTGTTCTGATCTACAGATTCATTAACTTCTCAGCTCTTTTTGGGTGTAATGAGTTTTCTTTTAATTCTCCTGAACTAAAAAGGTAAGTAGTTGATTGTGCTAAGCTGCAGATAAATCAGATGAGCAGATGTTCTTATACCACTATAGAAATGATATATGAAAACTGATATTAGAGTCAATGTAATACTGAAATGTGTGAGTTGTTCTGTGTTTAGTGACTATGAAAGTCACCCCATGAAATAAACTTTCCTCATCCTTGAAGTATCATCTTTTTTTTTAAGATTTTATTTATTTATTTGGCAGAGAGGGAGCAGGAGAATACAAGCAGTGGGAGCAGCTGGGAGAGGGAGAAACAGGCCGCCTGTCGAGCAGGGAGCCCAATGCGGGGCTCAATCCCAGGACCCCGGGATCATGACCTGAGCCGAAGGCAGACGCTTAATGACTGAGCCACCCAGGCGTCCCTCAAAATATTATCTAGTATACCTTATGTTTGTCCCACATTTAGCAATGTGGCAAAACTTATCTTCTTTAATTTTAAATATATAGTGATATGTCATAAGATTGAAATCAAATGAATTTAATTTATGGTGAGGAGGCCATCTTATAGATCTCAAATAAATATTTCAGACCACTTTTTTTTTTTTTTTTTTTTGCTGCCATAACCTGACCTGAGTTTTATCATACGTGTTTTCAAAAACTTTGGTATTCACCACTGTAGGTGAACCTCTGAGCTGGATTAAGCACTACAACCTAATGGTTAAGAGGATAAACTGTGGTGAACTGGGTTCAAACTCTGATCCACTATTTCCTGGCTGGCGTGACCTTGGGTTAGCACCCAGTGTCTGAATTTCCTCTTCTGTTAGATGCAGTTGTCAATCCTGTCTGTTTCACAGAATTACTGTGAGGAACAAATGAGATAATATCTACCAAGGATTTAACACAGAGTATTTGCTGATTAAATGTCAGCCAGTGCTATGATTATTGTCATAGTTATCTGTAGGTATTGGTTGTTCTTCTTTTGCTGCTTCTTACGGTAGTCCCTGAATATGGCTGAATTCCAAAGTCAAAAAACAATTTTTTTTTTTTTTACCTGGTGCTTTCGTCGGATATTACCTACCTAGGATTAGTACAGATAGGTTTACTGCTGCATATGTATCAAAACAGATCTGGTTCTGTTTGTGGATGGGGACATCTGGCCTCAGACATCCCATCATGTTCCTCCCAACCCCACCATGTTCAGAAAGCTTTTAGAAACCATTAGGCACATTCTTCTTCGTTCTGATTTGGATCTAGGAAAATAAAAAGACCTCATCCAAGTGAAAACTCTGCCCTTTCAGAGCATCAAAGCAAAGTTATGGGAACTGAAATACCTTGAAGGAGCTTTTTAGCTGCATCATTGCCGTAATCCCCTCCTGTCCCTGAGTCTGATTATGAAATTAGGAGACATGTACAAAGAAAGGGAATTGGGGCCACCCAGTTTTGTATGATACCCACTCCGAAACAAGACTTGCATCCTTCCCCAGCTGAGTCCCTAGCAGTCGGGGCATGTAAGTCCGTGGACAGCAGCTACGTGCGGCAGCCAGAATGCTCTGCCCTGATACGCCATCTTTAAATGGAAGTGGGTTGTTGAATAAAATATTTGGGGGCAACAACTTGGTAACTAGTTTTCAGTACTAAAAATGAAGTTAAAGAGTGCTCGCTTCGGCAGCACATATACTAAAAATGAAGTTAAAGAATCGGGTGTTCAGACTGAGGTCCATTACCCTACAACTATTTTAACGGGATTTTTTTTCCTTTACTTTTCTGTTCCCTCATGTTAGCACTCGTTACTATTTCGAAACATTTCCACTGGTTATTTTTTGTTGTTGTTTTCTAACACTTAGAAACCACCACAAATGTGACTTTTTTGTTGACTGTGTTCTTTTTTGCTATTTGCATCACTGGATCAGTTTTATATAGACATGAGCAAATGCAGAAAGGGTCAGTCTGTGTAGTCTGAGAGCTGAGTCACAAACAAGACAGGATTCTGTAGCCATTTCTAGTCTCCAGAGGATGGAGTAAGTCATTTGGAATAAGGGGGTTGGAAACAGGTGTAAATAGAATTAATAGTATAAAATTAAGAAAATGGAAATTTGCTGAATACCAGAACTGTGATGCATAGAGAGTTATGGAAATGCCTCTGGAAGCAAATCGGCGGAGGCCCATTCACTGGAGGCCTGAGTACAGCTGAACTACTGGGCGAATACCAATGAACATATTATCGGGAGTATTTCTGCACCAGTGTGAGATTCTCTAGAATCTAGGCCGTTAGGCCCTTTGCTTACTAATTCCTTTTTTGCTGTGAAATAATAAAGCCTAAATCATAAAACGAAATTTCACTTGCAAATTGCTGGAAGTCTTATTTCTCCAGTGAGATCAAATATGTCTTATGACATGTTTTTCTTTCCACTGTTCTCCCAGCTGTTGTTTCTTATTACTGAAATGGCGAGGCATTGATACCGGTTCAATTACCAAAGTATCTGAGAACATTTAAATTCATGGTGCATCACAGAAAGTCAGGCTAAGTGACTGTGATTATCAGACAGGGTGTTTGATTTAAATTAAAGGAACACGTCCAAGAGATTATTTATAGAGGAAGACTGTTTACTCTAAAGAATTCCCATGACCCACATCTTTTAGGACCCACTGAAATAAGGAGTATGTGGAAAATAAGGGACATGTGCTCTATATGTATATAGACACCATTGCCATACTGTTTCCTCGTCAGGGTCAGCACTGTAGGACCACATTATGGGTCCGAAAAGCTTAACACGAACCCTGTTGGGTTAGGAAGTAATGGAAATCCTTTAAGCGCAATTCAAAAATGTATACCAAATTCCAACTGGTAATAAAATGAGAATGTTAAAAATGATTTTCATATTAGAATTACATGGCTGTTAACCACATAAGAAAAATCCTGCGAGCTGATGTTCGAAAAGAGAATGTGTATCAGATATAACGGAATTTTCTCCCTTTGTAGAACAAAGGAAAAACATCAAATTCCATTGGAGGCAAGAGTTTAAAGCTTATTTGGGGATGTAGTTGTTTAGCGGTGTTTTATTTTATTTTTTTTTATTATGTTATGTTAATCCCGATACATTACATCATTAGTTTTAGATGTAGTGTTCCATGATTCATTGTTTGTGCATAACACCCAGTGCTCCATGCAGAATGTGCCCTCCTCAATACCCATTACCAGGCTAACCCATCCTCCCACCCCCCTCCCCTCTAGAACCCTCA